GATGGATTCCACATGCCTGGTTCCCACTGTGAAGCATGGAGGAGGAGGTGTGATGGTGTGGGGGTGTTTTGCTGGTGACACTGTTGGGGATTTATTCAAAATTGAAGGCACACTGAACCAGCATGGCTACCACAGCATCCTGCAGCGACATGCCATCCCATCCGGTTTGCGTTTAGTTGGACGATCATTTATTTTTCAACAGGACAATGACCCCAAACACACCTCCAGGCTGTGTAAGGGCTATTTGACCAAGAAGGAGAGTGATGGAGTGCTGCGGCAGATGACCTGGCCTCCACAGTCAGTTATTTTTTTTCAGTTATTTCACCTTTTTTTGTTAAGTACATAACTCCACATGTGTTCATTCATAGTTTTGATGCCTTCAGTGAGAATCTACAATGTAAATAGTCATGAAAAGAAAGAAAACGCATTGAATAAGAAGGTGTGTCCAAACTTTTGGCCTGTACTGTATGTGTCTTTTTTGGCCACATCAGATGTCTGATTGTATCCTGACTTGGTTTTTACCAGTCTACATGTAAATCAGGGTCAGCAACATTCCAGGGGTCCAGGGTTCAAGTCTCTGCTCAGGCTATAAGTCTGCTGTGTGAAGAGTCTGAGATGATCACTGTTGCCGTTATTCATGGAGGTCCTCAGTCTGCATGTGGTCCTAAATGAGCTGTGTGTTGGTGCAGGTCTGAACACATCCAGGACTCAGTTTAGACAATGTATAGATCATGGACCACAGAGCATGGAGCAGCTGCATGCAGGGAGTCTTCAACTCCACTTTTACTAGTTAAATGACACATAAGCTGGGAGCAAAGTAAGGCCCAAAGGGTTTGTATTCACAGCAGTGTTTTGGGTGTAACATGAATTCACCCAATCGGGGCGTCTTCTCCAAATCCCTTTAAAAGCCAGGTGTGTCTGCACCTGCTCTGTTGTTTACATGATGGATTTGTTAAATATGAAAAGTGAGTGGTTTTCTGCCAAGAGTGATGCAGTTAGAGTTTGTCTACAGGAGGTCCTCAGTCTTCTCATGGTCATAAATGAGTTGTGTATCAGCCACATTTATGTGTTTTTGTTGGTCAGATCAGAGATCTGATACAACCCATCCTACAGTCTGCATGTAAATCAGGGTCTGTCCTCCTCCAGTCCAGAAGGAGGCGGTAATGGACAAAGGTTTTATGGTTTTCATGGCTTAAATCATTTTGGGTGATGGTCTTCTCCCTATGATACTCTTCTTGAAGCCTGGCTAGCTCAGTCAGTATAACGTCAGACTTTAAATCTGAGGGTCCAGGGTCCTTGTTCAGGTGATAAGTTTGTTTTCTGATGTGTCTGTGATGATCATTATTGTTATCATTCAATCATTCAATCAATCAATTTTATTTATAAAGCCCAATATCACAAATCACAATTTGCCTCACAGGGCTTTACAGCATACGACATCCCTCTGGCCTTATGAACCTCGCAGCGGATAAGGAAAAACTCCCCAAAAAAAACCCTTTAACGGAGGTCTGCCGGAAGTCTGCTTGTGTCTTGTGTATATTGTTGATTTGGACACTTGGAGACTTCCCTGGAACATTTGCGTTACATCCAAAACTCTGTCACTGGGACGCTTTTGTTTAGATTTCCTCAAGGTTATCTTGTGGATAAGATCATGGATAAGATCGTGGATAAAATCATGGAGGTCTTTAGGAGATCCACAGTGATAATTTTGAGAAATATCTCCTGGAAGTCTGCATAGCTGACACCCGGCCACTTGCCTGTTGACGGTCAGCTCCGTTGTCATGGATACGTTGTGTACAAACCAACCAGCCAACAGTTTGCAGGGGTAGAGATTCATGCCCAGAAGAAAAGCTCATATTTCTGTTGGGAAGGAGAAATGCTTCATTCCATTGACCTGGGAGGTCGGAGCTGGGAATGACGTCACACCTGAGTCCCATCACAACAAGTTGGAAAATCAAGATGTTGTTAGTAGTACCAGTTGTAACCAGGTTAGCCTTTGTTAGCCACTTTTAAACATTTTGGAACACAGCCTCAACACTGCTATGTCCCACAGATGCCAAGTTGGATTGAAAGTTTTTGGATATGTGTAAGAATCATGATACACATCATATTTCTAAGAAGGTGGTTCAAGGAATGAAAGATGGAGGCTGTGTTCACAAAGTTCAACAGGTCTGCCACCAGAGTCCTGACACAAGCTGTGTTTCACTCTTCCATATTTTGACGTAATAAACAGCATGTTAGGGCTGGTTGATCTGAATATGCACAGCTGCATGTATTCACTCTAGAGGGTTCAAGTCCCTCACAGGCACAGGTGCTCCGTTAATCACAGAATAAAAGGTTCAACCAGATCAGACGTTCTTGAATCACAGAGTCGACCAAGTTTGCAGCTGGTTCTTACTTACTGTACTTAATGTGTTGTGATGTGTGTGATCCTCAGTTACGACTCCAACATGGACGACAGCAGAGACAACAAGAAGAACCGTTTCTCCAACACAATGGCATTCATGGAGGAATATCTCAACAACGTCCTGAACGACGAGCTGCCGTTCCACAATGAGGAGAAAAACAAGCTCACCTATGAGGTTGGTCCCTTTACTTCCTGTCCTAATGTAAAGCTGTCTCAGTCCTTCAGTCCTGTGATCACGTCCTTTGTGTCCTCTCTGTCCTCTCTGTCCTCTCTGTCCTCAGGTGGTGAGTTTGGCCAGACATTTGATTTACTTTGGTTTCTACAGTTTCTTTGAGTTGCTCCGACTCACCAGGACCCTGCTAGGAATCATTGACTGCAGACCCAACCCTGGATACGCCGGGATGTTATTCCATGATGATGGATCAGGTACTGTCTCTGCTCCGGCTCCTGTTCGCCTAAACCAGCAAACACAGGTCTGGTTTATTCTCACGCTGTTGATCAGTGCTGACGACTGCTAAAACCTGGTGTGTCTCATGTTTAAAGCTTCGTTGGCTGAAAGATATTTTCTTTACTGTCACTGGAGTCAGTAAAAACTTATCTGATGAAAACTTCCAAATGGGGTCTGATTAGAAAACTTTAAATGAGTTGCTAAAAGCTGAACTTTCTGTCTGATAAAACACTGTCTTACTTTGACAGAGCTCAGTGTTTTTTTTTATAAGGATGATATGTTTTGCTTTTCTGGTTACTCTGCTGAACTTCAGCAGGTCAGACTTCTGCTCAGTAGTTCTCCTGCTCTGTGTCATCACCTGTACTTTGGCTCATGTCAGATTTATGATTTACATTCTGTTATTTATAATTTTCTCTGTTTCTGTTGATCAGTAAGTCAGGTTTATTACTGGAGCGTCGTCACACCACCTGTTCAATGTGAGAAAGTCACATTATTCCACCTCACCATTCTGTATGAAAGGTACGATCTCAGAGAGGGGGAGTCATCTCACTTTCAGGTGCTGAATTTATGTCTGCATGAAAGGGACAGCTGGCAGGCGTAGGAAGCTTAGGAGGTTAAAAAAGCAGGTAAGGTCTGATGACGTCATGTCAGGAGACAGCTTGTGCGAGTCGTTAAAGTCAGATTATTGAAATTAATTAATGTGAAAGCACCTGAGAGGTGATGGCAGGAGGATGATAATGAAGCGGTCATACCTCTGTGGGACCTCCTTAGGTCAGCACATGTGAATCAAACCGAAGCTCACTCTGCGTTTGCTTCAGTTTGTCACCGTACGTGTCTGATGACTGAGAATCTTCACGTGACTTCAGATGATGATGATGATGATGCCTCAGCGTCTGATCTGTGTCAGGTTAATAACGTAGACCTTTGCTCCTCTGTTCCCCATCTGAAGGGAAGAACGTGAAGCGCTCCATCCACGGGATGGGTCAGATGATGTCCACCATGGTCCTCAACAGGAAGCAGTCCATATTTGGAGGTGGAGGAGCCCGAGGGGCGGCGGCGGGACTCGTGCTTGACCCGCAGAGAGGCAGTAAAGACAGTATTGATAAGATGGACCTGACGGTGATGGATACCAAGCTGAAGATCCTGGAGATATTACAGGTATCTGGTAATTCAGTCTGTCAGAGACGAGTTTATTTAGCATTAAGATCATAGTGAAGTGATATTCTGCCCCCTCTACTGTCTGTTAGCCACAAAACATTTTACTGAACTTATTATTAAATGAAGCTACACTGCTGACAACGCTACAGGACACTTCAAAATAAAACTTCCAGGCACTTCCTGTTTCATCCTGAGGACAGAATCTGTGATTCAGACACTGAACACAACTTCATACTGAGAGAACTAAACTTTGATATATCACCTTGAATCACTGATGATATGAACCTGTGAGATTCAGTGTGAACACATGACGTTTTCATGTCAAAGAGCAGAGAAGAACCAGATTCTCATTTTGGATCAAACACTGAGAACAATTATAAAATCCACAGATTGTGTTTGGGTCTGAATTAAAGACTGAAATCTGTTTTGTAGACAGATTTTTTTTTTGTCTTTGGTTCAAACTGTCTCTTTTGTCAGTAACGGGCACTGAAAAATCTTCTTGGGTCTCGTGTCATCGTTTGATCTTCGCAGAGGTCGTAGTTCACAGTTCAGTCACTGATTGGCGTTAAACCCAGGCTGACTTCCTGTTGCTCTGAGTCGCACCATCAGAGGAGGGTTTGTGCTGGTTTAGTGATGTCTCCACAGTCGACCCTGTGTTTAGTTGATGTTAAAACGTGTTGTTGAGCTGTGACCTGTCCATCTTGTCCTCCTCCTCCTCCTCCTCTTCATCAGTTCATCCTGAACGTCCGTTTGGATTACCGCCTCTCCTTTCTGCTGTCCGTCTTTAAGAAGGAGTTTGTGGATGTGTATCCCATGGCCGACGCTGACGCCACCACCAACATGGAGCACGCAGGTACACACACACACACACACGAACAGAGTATAACAACCAGTCTGTGCTGCTCTCACTGTCTCTGATGAAAACTGATTTGAAAAAAGAAAAATAAACTATTTATTTAGATATGACTTTTTAAAAACATCTACGTGAGTGTGTGATCTACTGTAACACACATCCTGCAGAGTTTAGTAAGTGTTTGTGTTGTTGCTCCTCCCAACGCTGTCAGATGTCCCCGTCACCATGGAAACCACAGGTAGAAACACTTATGTTAGAGAGATTAAACGTGGAGGCAGTGTTCACACCATGTGTCTCTGTTTCATGTCTGTTGACATGAATCATTTCAACTCATACACACCTGTGTGTGTGTGTGTGTGTGTGAACGTAGTCCTGTTGTTTATTAACCCTCTGTGTGTTTGTCCCTCAGCCACCATCAACCTGCAGCACATCGGGGAGCAGGCGGAGGCCATGTTTGGAGTCGGGTACGTGGTGACGCTGCACACAGACGTGACACTGACGGATTCATTCATTCATTACAAACTGAGTCACTGTTGAACATGAACTGATTTTAAGAAGCAGATATTTAATCATCACCCTGGAGGTGGCGCTGTTGTCTTGTACGTCATCATAGCTGTGATTCAGTTGTAGACACGAGGCCACAGACCGAGTGATGAAGATCGTCAGGCCTGATCTTCAGTCCAACAGCTCCGCCTCCAGTGTGACATCACTGTTATACCACAGCTCTACAGGCTTCATTTATCAACAGTAAAAAGTGACAACAGCTTCTGATTGTTTGTTTATTTAATGATTTATATGGCTCCGCCCACACAAATAGTTCTGCAAGTGGACTGGACTGTTGCTAAGCAACACAAACATTCCTGCACATTAACTAACATCTGTGTAGGTCGACACGTCACCTCAGAGCAGCTGCTGTGTGTCATGTAGCTTCATCTGTGTGACATCAGTCTGACGGTCTCTGTGGTGGAGCACGTGTGATGATGATGATGATGAGTTAACAGCTTCATCAGCATGCGTCACCTGATGTCACGTGATCACACCTGCAGATTTACAGTCAAGTATTCAGGCTCCATCCCTTCGTCCTTTTTTGACCATTCAGTATTTAAGTCAAAGGTTATTGGTGGTCACATGACCACTCTTAATGTGTCAGATACATGCGTATGTATATCAGCACTCACTGAATGTCTCCTGTCCAATCAGATCACTCAGTCTGAACTAACTGTTACATAAACATAATGTGTCCGTGTGTGTGTGTGTGTGTGTGTGACCGTGTGTGTCCGTGTGTGTGTGTGTGTGTGTGTGTGTGTATGTCTGTACAGTAAGGGGAACAGTATCCTGGAGGTGGACGATGAAGGCGGTCGGATGTTCCTGCGAGTGCTGATCCACCTCACGATGCACGACTACCCTCCTCTGGTGTCTGGAGCTCTGCAGCTGCTCTTCAGACACTTCAGCCAGAGACAGGAAGTGCTGCACACCTTCAAACAGGTACACACACACACTCACACACACACCCACACACACACACACACACACACACAACCATAATCCATGTCAAAGTGCTTAGACACAAAAGCTGAAGCAGGAAACAGAATGGCAAAAGCGGCGAGCATCATAAACTGGCCTGATTTCAAGTGACGTCACTTCACTTTCCACAGAATCTTCTGACTGTCACAGTGGGACTAACACACCCAGATCATGTGACTCCTGCATGTATACAGTCAATCAGACCCAAACTGGCCGAGGCGCTCTGAGCATGCTCCACAGTTTCCGCCCCGGGCTTTGACCCGGAAGTCCAATAGCATTAAATGTGTAAGAGAAGAAGAAGCCGGTAACAACATGAAGAAATCTACATCCAGAGCCGTGACTTTTTGGACGGACCAAATGTACAGAGCTGTAAAGTTGTCCACCATGGTAGCAGTTAGCTGCTAGCTAACCGTAGCTAACTTGTTTGTCCATTGTTTGGTCTGTGACGTAATAGGTCAACAGGAAAAGGTTCAATACTAACAAGCTGAAAGGGGGCATATCTCCACCTATCGTAGAGGAGTCGCACATACTTGGCCCAATAAATGGATTCCCCTCCCGTGCTTGTATACTGGGACAAGGACAGTAGGCCAGTTAGATGTCCTCGTCCAGCTGGGACTGTAGCTCCACTACACTGTGACTGGAGACGGACTGAGTGTCTCAGTTTTGGTACTGTCTGACTGTTTTGTCACATCAGACTTTGGATGTGACGGTCAAGGTGATGAGTCTGGTGTGTATGGTGTCTGCAGAGCTCAGTGTTGTACTCACTGATTGAAGCTCTACCGGAGGTCCTCTGGACCCTGGACCTGAAGCGTTTTCACCAAAACACCAGAAGAAGAATGATGCTAACAGTTTAGCAAGTGTTAGCTAACAACTGTCCATCAACACGTGAACAACACTTATTTATAATTAACACTTGATGTGGTTATTATAAGGGATATTTCCTTACGTGATGTTCTGATGATGGTAGAGAACTATCCGACAGCCTCTTCACTAAACTAATGGCCGACCCAGCTCACAGTCACTTAGTTTGTAAAGTTGGAGACATTTTGTTGTCCTGACGTTACATCGAAGAACACCGGGTAGGTCCTTCGGTAGAGCCCTAGAGACTTAATCCAGGGTTCAAGTCCCTGTTCAGGCAATACAGATTTTGTGTAATCTGTTGATTCAACACTTGTTTCACTGAGTCAACATTGTCAATATGTCCATAAAGTCCTTCAGTTCATTGGGTGAATCCAGATGTCCCCCTGTTGTGCCTGAGGTCTTGGGTCAGCTGCATCGTGACATCTGCAGAGCTGATCCGTTTTCATGTCATGTCAGGATTATGTATGATTTTCTGACTGATCACATCACTGTCTGACTCATATTTGTGACCGTGATATAATTAATCTGAGGGTTTTGATAAATATGTCTCTGTGTGTGATGATATGGAAGACTTTAAAAACCCAACAGATGTGTGTGTCATTGATCACAGTAGGGGCAGAGTGACAGGAAACTGTGGACTGTGGGCCGTCCAGAAAAATAAATCCTCAGAATCAAACACTTACCTTACCTTCTTTTTTTAGAGAAGTTCAAATTTGAAGTTGGCGGTAGTTTTAAAACTGTTCTGTAACACTCAACAGGACATAAGATTAGATCCATCTCCTGTACTGTAACTGTTAAAACACTGAGAGGTGGAGTTAAAGGTGGAGTTTACTGAACACTAGGAACATGATACAGACTCTGGACCCACATCAGCTGCTTTCTGAAGTATGTCTGAAGCCTGGGTAGCTCAGTCGGTAGAGCATCAGACTTTTAATCTGAGGGTCCAGGGTTCAAGTCCCTGTTCAGGCGATATGTCTTTGTTCACATGATAAGTCTGATCAAGAATGTCTCAGGTGAAGTGAGCAGCATTCATGTGAGACTGTACATTGATTTTGTACGACTGGATCATGTGTGAGGTGTGGATGGAGGTTTACAGGTGATCTGTGTGCTCACCTGCAGACTTGATCAACAGTTGAGTTAACAGGCGTCTGTCAGTGTGTCATCTGTGAGCTTTGACATCACCGTCTGAATCTAAATGTCGGCACATACACACACACACACACACACACACACACACACCATCACAGGTTCTTGATCCAGTCCATAAATGAGTTTTCATTCAAATAAAACAGCAGTTCATTGAAGAAGTGAGAAGAAGAACTCAAATGGGAATAAAATCTGACAAACCCAGGATCGGGATTCATCTCGTGAAGCTTTGACAGACGAGTTTCTATCCTTTACACCAGACAGTGTTCCCCTGTGAACTGTTTTACTACCTGACAGTCCGGCCTTTATCTGAGGTTTGTTTTGTTTGGATTTCATTCAGTCAGATTCAGATTCTGTGTGTCGAGTCTGGTTCGTAGTTCTGGTCAAGTTATGATTTGATTTAGGAAAGAAGCAAAGTCGATTTAGGCTGCCATGATCAGTAGTTTCTCATATGATGAGGTTTTTAGTGTTCGTCCCAGCTCCAGCTAAATTTGGATCATTGTGACTAAAACTGCTGCAGCGTTGATTGATTCTACGTCCATTATTGACCCCGCTTTACTGAGTGTGAATCACTCTGAATCAGTGGAAGTGGAAGAAGATTACCAACAGATCAACTGACCAGGACGCTCATGTTAATCCTCCTAAATGTGTTCTTGTGTCTCTGCAGGTCCAGCTGCTGATCTCAGCTCAGGATGTGGAGAACTACAAGCTGATCAAGGCAGATCTGGATCGACTGCGAACGCTGGTGGAGAAATCTGAGCTGTGGGTGGAGAAGAAGGGCTCAGGAGGAGGTGATGGGAAGAAAGAAAAGAAAGACAAGAAGGAGAAAGGAGAGGTGGGAACAAACACATCATCACTGTCAGCTTTACTTTCATAACCAGCCTTAATACTGAAAAAGGTAAAGTACCTGTTGGAGATGAGGTTAAACGTAAACTGAGGATGATTAAAGTTAATAAAGCTTTACAAGCCTTCATCAATGTGTCAAACAGCAGAGCTGACGTTTAGGACGCAGTTTGTTGTCTCACTTAGAGCCTCATTCCTCCATTTGTGTTCAGTTCTGCTTTTTAAACGTTTGAAATGTTCTCAAAAAAAAAAAAAAACGGGGCGTCGGTGGCTTAGTGGTAGAGCAGGCGCCCCATGTACGGGGCTGTTGCCGCAGCGGCTCGGGTTCGAGTCCAGCCTGTGGCCCTTTGCTGCATGTCATCCCCTCTCTCTCTCCCCCTTTCACGCTTGACTGTCCTGTCCATTAAAGGCAAAAAATGCCCCCAAAAATATCTTTAAAAAAAAACAAAAAAAAAACGATCTCATATAGTTCCTTGTGTGATTTTCCTGTGACTGTTTGAGCTCCTGTTTGTCTTTAAAGATCAGTCACAAAGTGCTTCTGGTTTGTTTTTAATTCAGTATTTCCTGGCAGGTTTTTCACTAATCAGATTATTGTGTTTTAAAGAATATTATCATATATTTTTTGATGTCCTGATGAAGGCTTGTTTCTGCTGACAGCTGTTGGTGTTTCAGAGTTAATTATTCATCCAATTAATAACTCTCCCTGAGCACCTCGACATCAAACAGTTGATGATATAACGGACGGGGTCATATCTGTTTCCAGAGGCTAATTATTGGACACAGAATTAAAGTATCTGAAAAAGTGAACATGAGTTGAGGGTCACACTTCCACACACTTTATGGTTATTATCTAACACTGTCAGAACGAACAGCTGTGACATCTTTATGCTGACGGCTGAGTGACGTTCGAAGCTTCTGTAAATAACTCACAAACAACTAACAGAGTTTAAACACTAACGAGCTAACTGACTCACAGTCACAACTCAAACCAGCATCAGAAACATTTTCTCAGTAGATTATTATTAACATTAATATCACTAATGAAACTAAACCACTAAACATAAACTCTAAAACTACCTGCTGAACCTCTGCATCTGTGTTTCTGCACTTCCTGTGCTGAACGTTGGTGTGGTGCTTGTGGACGTCTCGGATGGTTGAGGTGCAGTTGTCCAGGCCTGGGTCAGAACTGGTTCAGGGTTTTTGTTGCATGTCACACTTCCCTGTCTCTTTGTTGTTTTGTTCTGCTGTGAAACTGACGCACAATCCTCTGAACGTGTCGTAACAACTCATTTTTACCACTGTCATCCATCTTATACACACTCACATATCAAACCATTAAAACAACAACCTAACAAACAGCAGTTGGGTTCAGGCCAAAGTTGGTCTGATATTATTTCATTTGTCTTCATCACTGAGTCTGAAAGTCACCACGGCTACATGCACATTAGGGCTGCTCAATTATGGAAAAAATCATAGTCACGATTATTTTGGTCAAAATTGAAATCACGATTATGTGGCGCACGTGATGATTTATATTGTTTATACACGACGGCATGTCATTTCTGTCTCTACGTGGTCGCACGTTTACAATTCTCCTCTGCTCTCTGTATCACGCATGGCGGAGTTTGGCCCCAATGCGAGCACGCGCGCACACGCACACACACACACACACACACACCTGCAGACCAACCTCTCTCACTCTCCCTCTGCCATTTTCCGCACACTGTTGTTGAAATCTTCTGCAATCACCTGCCCCTCACATTTTCGTAGTTCACCTACTTGACTGGCTCGTGGAGTGAACAGAGGACAGGAGGGGAGGGGGTGGTATTGCACATGCGCGGCTTCCACAGAAGAGAAATAACATCTTCAGGTGTCCGTGACCAAAAATCGTTTACCCTCGATTTTATTAATTTTGAAATCTTTTGACCTCAAAATCGTAATTGCGATCACCAGACGATTAATTGCACAGCCTTAATGCACATGATATTCAGGTTTTTTTATGGACAGTAAAGTTCTGCTGCTTTAGATATGCAGGAGTCTCTGTCTTCATACTGAACTCTGTGCTGCAGAGTTAGTTTAGTTAAACTGGAAGTCAGATAAGCGTTTGTGTCCACAGAGCTACCCGAGGATCCACGAGACATAAATGTCTTCATGTGTTCATATCTGACCAATCAGCCCAACACTCACATTAACATATATGTGTTTATAATGTTTAACACATGATTCAGGTCTATATAATGTAGTAACGTACCCAGAGAGAACTGCATATGCTGTCTTACCCTCTACACCCTGCAGGGGGCATCAGAGGACGCCACGCCCAAGAAGGACAAGCTGGAGAAAGGAAATGAGAACTACCAGAAGGTCAAAGAGGTGAGCACACTTGTCAGTCTGTCTTTGATCAGTTATCAACTGATTCTGGGTTGTTTTGGTCTCCGTCTCTGTCCTGGTGTTCCTGTGGTGCAACAGATCACCTGTCAGTCAATCCGTGTGGGCGGGGCTGTGATGTCTCTTCATTGATGTGGTGCTTTTGTCTTAGTCTCTTCAGAAATGATGGGTTTCACTGATCAGAATGATCAGGTTAATTATTTCCTCCTAAAAATCACTCTGGATAAAAACCAGACAGAATGCATAAATATAAATAAAGAGAAAAATAAATGACAGGTTTTAATTATTATAGATTTATACTCACTCACACTGTGTGTTGACAGACAGAGTTGTAGGTGTGTCTAATCATTCCTCCTGTTCATACTGGCTCTGAAGCAGCTCCCTGTCCTGACACCCTGTCTGTCCACACACCTACAGATAGTTTTGAAAACAGATATTTTCCCACTCTATTTTATAAAAACAGAATCTTTGACCTTTTTCAAACACCTGCTGGAGATCTCATCACTGCTGAGTCTTTCATGTAAGGACGAAGGAGCTCAAACATCAATCAATCAGTCAATTTTATTTAAATGTTTATTTAAACGTACGACTCATCCTCTGGACATGTGAAAGTTTTCCTCCCACTGCTCATCAACAACAGTCCCACTGTGGGAAGTGTCCCACCATCTGCTGGTTCCACTGGTCCTGATACAAAACCATTGGATCTGCCAGACTTTAAACTTCAGACACTGAGAAGGACCAGATCACACTGAGCGCAGCAGACGCCTCTGTTTGTCCAGGAAGTTGTGCAGCAATACAGAGTTTAAATGTAAAGTCATCATGAGTCCAAGCAGAGCATAAACAAACTGACAGTCGTCATTGTTGTTCTAGTTTCTGGTGCGAACTCATTGCACAAAGCAACATGACAGATTCTGTCTTCGATCCTGTTTGCTGTATTCATGGGGGTGGTTTGCAGAGTCATCTCCTCCCAGTCTGAGGTCATGGTTCTCTGCTGGAGAACAGTGGATTGTTCCCTCTGGGTTGGGAGAGAGTTACTGACCCAAGAGAAGGAGTATCTCAGGGACTTGTTCACAGTGAGGGTAGGTTGGAGCATGAGATGGATTGGTGGTTTGGTGTGGTGTCTGCAGTGATGTGGGCACTGTGCTGGACCATCGTGGTTCAGAGGGAGCTGAGCTGGTCTACCTGCGTCCCAACCCTCACCTATGGTCATGAGCTCTGGGTAGTGACTGAAAGAATGAGGTCACAGATACAAGCGTGTGAAATGAGTTTCCTCTGTAGGGTGTCTGGGCTCAGCCTTAGAGATAGGGGGAGGAGTCAGACATCTGGAGGGAGCTCGGAGTAGAGCAGCTGCTCCTTCATGTTGAGGTGGTTCAACATCTGATCAGGATCCTCCTGGTCCAGCTGGTAGGAGGCCCCGGGGCAGACCCAGAACACACTGGAGGGATTATAGATCTCATCTGGTCTGGGAACACCTCGGGGTCCTCCAGGAGGAGCTGGAGAGTGTTGCTGAGCAGAGGGACGTCTGGAGCACTTTGCTCAACCTGCTGCCCCAGAGACCTGACCCCAGATAAGAGGATGAGGAAGGATGAATGGATGGAGCAGTGGGCGTATGTGAAGTAAACAGATGATGTTTTGTTTTACAACCACACAGAAACAAAGAAACCAGAGTTTGGAAAACTCTGCACCTTTATAAACTCTGTTGTGGTGATCTGAAGTCTCTTTGTGTGGATGAGGAGACATGTGGAGGAAAATATCATTTTCAAAACCATCTGTAGACGTGACCTAAAACAACTGCACTGTAAGAAATAAGGGAAACAATCTGCAGGTCATGTTTTCTGTAAAATTACAGTATAAAGTTTAGCCAATCAAAATGTTTGTTTGTGTTTTTTTGGCTTCCAAACATTTGATTGATGCCTCGATGTGTCGACTTTACCTCAGTCCAGATGATCTTATGTTTCCTCTATCGCTTTAAGTTCAGCTTTCAAACTGTTTCTGTTTTTAATCACAGTCTGTGTCAGTGAATCACACGAAACGTTCACGCTGGAATTTTATCTTTTTCATCCCGTCCATGTTACCGCCTTCTGTCTGTTAGACTTATGACCAGATCATCAAAGTTCTCTCATGGTTTCAAACTGACAGCTTGAACTTGTTAACTTTATACTCAGTGAGTTTTTAGCCCAAGCATCAAACCACTTCATCCTCCTCAGGTCACCATCTTACCCTCACCATTCTTACAGTAAACAACCTGTTTGGCATCAAAAGTAACAGGAAACATGACGCCCATTATCTCACCTAGTAGAGTCGACACCGCACATACAAAGGCCTTGTCCTCGCTGCAGCGGCCGTGGGTTTGATTCTAACCCATGAAGTCCCACCCTGCCCCAGATCCATCCATCTGAGAAAAGATCATTTCAAAACTAACGGGAAACACAGAATATATCAGTGTCACAATATCTCAGAAACACATCAGGGAATGTCTTAATATTTGGCACAAACGTCCACTGTAGAATAAACTGATTAGAATTTTGTGGTCGAAGGTCAAAGGTCACACAACAGGATAACAGGATAAAATAATGAAGGTCAAAGGTCAGTGTCACCTCACAAAACTTGACACAACAGGATAACAGGATAAAATAATGAAGGTCAAAAGGTCAAAGGTCAGCTTGACTGTGACATCATCATGTTTTAACGTCATATCTCAGGAACAGAAGGGGAGACATTTGGTCAGATACTGAATTGGTGACTCTAATCTTGAAACTGTGCTGATTGTATAGATCTTCTGTGTGTGAAGCATCCATGTTTTCACTGACATGGATGGAGACTGTGTTTCTATCTGTCAGATATATAAATATATGTTTTAATCATCACTTGAACTAAAACATGTTTCAGTCTCTCTGTTCTTCATCTGTTTGTTTTCTGGATCAGAAGTCAGTAGGTAACTTTACCTCACTGTGAGTAACAGCAGCTTCCATTAACTGTTCAATCAGAAACATATCAATCAGAAACATATTGATCAGAAACATGTCGTTCAGAAACATGTTTATCAGAAACATTGATCAGAAACATCTCGATTGGAAACATGTCAATCAGAAACATACTGATCAGAAACATACTGATCAGAAACATGTCGATCAGAAACATGTCGATCGGAAACATATCGTTCGGAAACATATCAATCAGAAACATGTCGATCAGAAACATACTGATCAGAAACATGTTGATCAGAAACATGTCGATCGGAAACATATCGTTCAGAAACATATCAATCAGAAACATGTCGATCAGAAACATACTGATCAGAAACATATCAATCAGAAACATGTCGATCGGAAACATGTCGTTCGGAAACATATCAATCAGAAACATGTCTATCAGAAACATACTGATCAGAAACATTGATCAGAAACATATTGATCAGAAACATGTCGATCAGAAACATGTCAATCAGAAACATGTCTATCAGAAACATACTGATCAGGAACATACTGATCAGACACAGATTGATCAGAAACATGTCAAACAGAAACATGTAGATCAGACACACATTGATCAGAAACATATTGATCAGAAACATGTCAATCAGAAACATGTCGATCAGACACATATTGATCAGAAACATGTCGATCAGAAACATATTGATCAGAAACTTGTCAATCAGAAACATGTTGATAAGAAACATGTCAATCAAAAACATGTCAGTCAGAAACATATTGATCAGAAATATGTCAATCAGAAACATATTGATCAGAAACATGTCAATCAAAAACATGTCAGTCAGAAACATAGAACAGAAACATGTCAAGCAGAAACATGTCGATCAGAAACGTATTGATCAGAAACATGTCGATCGGAAACATGTTGATAAGAAACATGTCAATCAAAAACATGTTGATCAAAAACATATTGATCAGAAACATGTCGATCGGAAACATGTTGATAAGAAACATGTCAATCAAAAACATGTCGATCAGAAACATATTGATCAGAAACATGTCGATCAGAAACATGTTGATAAGAAACATGTAAATCAAAAACACAGATCAGAAACATGTCCATCAGAAACACAGATCAGAAACATGTCAATCAGAAACGTATTGATCAGAAACATGTCAATCAAAAACACAGATCAGAAACATGTCCATCAGAAACACAGATCAGAAACATGTCCATCAGAAACACAGATCAGAAACATGTCAATCAGAAACGTATTGATCAGAAACATGTCAATCAAAAACATATCGATCAGAAACATGTCGATCAGAAACACGATAAGAAACGTCAATCAAAAACATGTTGATCAGAAACATAGATCAGAAACAGATCAGAAACATGTCAGTCAGAAACGTATTGATCAGAAACATGTTGATAAGAAACATGTCAATCAAAAACATGTCCATCAGAAACATGTCAATCAGAAACACAGATCAGAAACATGTCAATCAGAAACGTATTGATCAGAAACATGTCAATCAGAAACATATCGATCGGAAACATCGATCAGGAACATGTCGATCAGAAACATGCTGATCAGACACATGTCAATCAGAAACATATCGATCGGAAACATCGATCAGGAACATGTCGATCGGAAACATGTCAATCAGAAACATACTGAGTAGAAACATGTCGTTCAGAAACATACTGATCAGAAACATTTATCAGAAACATGTCGATAAGAAACATATTTATCAGAAACATGTCGATCAGAAACATATTGATCAGAAACATGTCGATCAGAAACATATTGATCAGAAACATGTCAATCAAAAACATGCTGATCAGAAACATAGATCAGAAGCATGTCAGTCAGAAACGTATCGATCGGAAACGTCGATCAGAAACATATCGATCGGAAACATCGATCAGAAACATATCGATCGGAAACGTCGATCAGGAACATACTGATCAGAAACATATTTATCAGAAACATGTTGATCAGAAGCACGTTGATCAGAAACATTGATCAGAAACATGTTGATCAGAAACACGTTGATCAGAAACATATTGGTCAGAGGAGTGAGAGCCATCTTGTCTCTGTCGTCTGCAGATCCTGGAGAGGTTGAATAAAATGTGCAGCAGTGGAGTTTGGAAGAAGCAACAAAGGCTGTTGAAGAACATGGGAGCTCATAAAGTGATGCTGGACCTTCTGCAGGTGTCCTACGACCAGGTGAGTCTGGGGACTGTCAAAATAAGAGCGTTCTAACAGAGTCACTGAGCTGTAGCTGATTTACTTTGAGAGCCTGGAAATAATGAAGGTCAGTGGTGTCTTTATTTTCTCAGACTGTCGTGTCTACAGAATGTTTCAGGCTGTAGTGACGGGTTCAGATGACACCACGGTTGTCATTCTGACACTCTGTGACACATCAGGTGATGGTGGAGTCATAAAATCGTGCCGTGACTTGGCTGACAGACATGACAGACTGCATGTTGGTCGACCAATCACGGGTCGTCGTTCACGACATGTGTGATGTCATCAAATTATTATTGTCCTGTTTTTATTATTATTATTATTATTATTATTATTATCATTAATATTATTATTATTATTATTATCATTAATATTATCTCAGTCACTGTGTCTGTTCATGTTCCAGCTGAGCTGTTACTGTAGTGACATAAAAAGTGTCACCAGATAGGCGGAGCTACATTTGAAGTACCACGTGTAAACTAATCCTCACTGAATCCTCCACAGGAAGTTCCTGCAAATGTTTAACAATAAAAGCCTTTTTAGAAAATGAAGGGATTCTCTCAGGTTTTAATTTGAAACATAAACAGGAATTGTTGAGTTTGATTAAACTAAAAAAAACACAACAAAAAGAAAATCAAACATGCCAGACTTCCTGTTTGAACGTCGTGAGGCGTCCCAGACGTTGTCGTCTAATATGACACACTACACCAGATGAAACCATGGATTATCGTGTACGACACTCGCTGTCGTTCATGATCTGAGACGACACTGTATCAGGCTGATAACGTGTAGTCTGAACTTGGGGTTAGTGGTCAGCTGGACCTAGTTAAGCTTTTTGTTTCAGTATTTTTCTGTCTCTAAAAACCTTTAAGACCCTCTCCCTCTCATACAGTAAATAAATGAACTCATCTAGCTGACTGGAGAAAAGCAGCGTTGTTCCAGAATGTTAAAAACAGCTACGTGGAACTGAAGCTCAGGTTTTGAGCCACTGAATCTTTGGGACATCAGTCCTGAGCCTGTTAGTTTGAGTTAGGGAAGACTTCAGCTGGATTAAAAACACCAACAGATCCCTCTCAGTGACTCGATGACATGAGGTCAGTTCACAGCCTTTTGCAGGTATTTTATTGTAAGCGCAGCCCAGGAGAACAGCTCACCAAACATTCCTATATTCCTCTTTTGACAGACATCCTACCTAACTTTCCGTATGTGTGTGTGTGTGTGTGAGAGAGAGAGAGAGAGAGAGAGAGAGAATTGTTTTGGAACACTCTGCTCTTATTACCTTGCCCCGTTGACGGTTGTTAAATCTAGGTACATATTCTGCTTCTAGTCTGACCTTAACTGTCTGACATTTCTGGGCCTTTTTGCCACCACAGTGTTAACCTCTTCATCTCTATGTTTGTCTGCAGAATGATGTGAAGATGCAGGAGATTATCAGGTACACTCACCTGTTCCTACAGAAGTTCTGTATGGGAAACCAGGAGAACCAGGCGCTGCTGCACAAGAACCTCAACCTCTTCCTCAACCCTGGGGTACGCTGCTTCTATAATAGATCAATACAGATTTTAGTCTGTTATCAGACAACGTAAACGTTCAACAGTGCCCCCTACAGGCTGCAGGGGTCATTACAGTGTTCAACACAGCTGACTAATGATTGGATGAGTCCTGGATCTGAACATGTAAAGTCTGATCTGAGGGCGTTGATGAAGGAAAGATCACTGAGTCATTAAGCTCTAAAGGGTTCATCCTCTGGAGAGCATTAATATTCATAGTGTCACTGTTTCCCCTGTAGAGTCGAGGGAAAAGGCTGCGTGTCATCTTTTTAAAAGAATATTTCATTATGTAACAGTTACAAAACTCCTCTGATGGAGCGTACGTGATGTGGATTGTCTCCAGTGTGACTCATCACAGTTTACGAGATTTTGAGCTTCAGAAACACTTGACTTGACAAGTCAACAACAAACAGTCTGTTAATGGACTGAAAATGAATCCGCTGTTTTAATGACTGAGGACTAGTTTTGGTTGTTGTATAACTGTGGTTCCAGTTTATTTAGTGTGCTGTTCTTCTGATTGTTAATTAAGTATTTTGTAGTTTTGGACTGTCTGACAAATCAAGACGTCACCTTCAACAACACAGTTCACCAGAAACAAAGACTTATAATTTAATTACAGTGATTTGATTAAGAACAAACATTTGCTCGTCAGAACTTTAGAACGAAGCTGAACGTCTTTATGATCACATGAATCTTTATAAGCAGATATCTGAATGTGACCATAGAATCTGTAGGTGATGAAATGCGACTTCAGTTCTAACGGACTGGTGCAGAGTCGCAGGCTTTAAACTCTGTGTGGATGTGAACCCTGACAGAGTCATTAAGGTCACATGTGAGTCGTTGACCCACCCACACATCACGTGTGTTGTTAGTGTTGGATGGGTCCAGGTGTGAATGGGTGTAAGTTCTTCTGGGGAGGGGTCGAAGGATGGCAGTGTAGGTGGTGATAAGTGGTGTCATAGGCCACCTCCTCTGTTAAAAGATGGTCGTTCCAGTTTGACGTAGATGGCTTCTTTCACCCATCTTTCAAACCATGTTTCCTCCCTGGCCAAGATGTGCACATTGCTGTCCTCTAGAGAGTGTCCCTTCTCCTGTAGATGTAAGTGGACAGCTGAGTCTGGACCTGAGGAGCTGGCTCTCCTGTGCTGTGCCATGTGTTTGTGGAGCGGTTGTTTTGTTTCACCCATGTACAGATCTGTGCATCTGGCTGCACTGAACTACTCACACTACAGTACTCTGCTTATGTCTGGGTGTTTTGTCCTTAGGGTGGACAAGTTTCTGTCTGTGTGTGACTGGGTTTGATGTGCACAGGGATGTGGTGTTTGCTGAAGATCCTCCTCCCTATCCCCCACCTATAATGCTGTCCTTTCATCCTTGCCCAGGAAATTTAACCTCTAAAAACAACGGTCGTTCACAAATGGCCTCATGTGACTCTAATGACTCCCAACGACTACCGTTGCAGCAGGAGTTTCAGTGACCGTCGTTGACACACCATTGTAGCACTAATGAACCAATGACATCATTGGCCTTGTGAAGACATCCCCAGAGGTTAAATACCTGGGTTGTTTCCACACCAGTTTGTCAGACTAGTTCCAGCCTAGTCAGACAAGCATGAACTGATGAAGCCTCTTGGATAAGAGGTGAAACGTCTTCTAAGACAAAACTAAGTCCAGTTGCTTTCGATTCAATTGCCTTGAGAAGATCCTCCTGAGTTTCTCAGACACTCCTGTGACATAAGGAATGACAGTGTTGTTTGTTTTTTGTGTCTTCCTCTCTGTCTGCTCTGGGTCTCTGCGAGGTTTTGGCCCAGTTGGAGTAGCCAATGAGAGGCTGATCTATGCAGCGAACTTCCGCACACTCAGACCTGGGTCCTGATGACTCCCAACTTGTGCTGCAGTGGGTGGTGAGAGATGAGACATGAAACATCTCAAACAGGTCCAGCTGGCTATAATATAACACTTAAGATCACCATGACCTGGATGACCGAGAATCGGAAGTTTTTATGGTTTTGGTTTGACGTCTGAGTCGTACTGACCAATCACGTTCGAGCGTCAGGTAAACAGCTGCTGTGGAGAAGTGGAAGACTTCGGCTCTGGTCTGATGATGAGTTAGCTTTATGTTAGCTTTTTAAAATGTATCAGCCTTCACATGCAGAGATCAGCTGATAGAAGAAGTCATGACTCTGATGTCAGCTGACTTCATCAGATCAGACTGAAATCTTGGCCCCACCCCCGAGGCTCTTCGTCAAACCGACAGTGTTATGAGATCATGACCACATGATCACATCAGTCAGAGCTGTTTCTGACGTTTCACAAACTGAATGACTGAAAGATTCATTGCACACTAATAATGATATGATGTCCTCGTCCTCGTCTGTCTGCAGCTGCTGGAGGCGGAGACGGTGCAGCACATCTTCAACAACAACTACCAGCTGTGCAGTGAGATCTCAGAGAGTGTCCTGCAGCACTTCATCCACTGCCTGGCCACGCACGGCCGCCACGTCCAGTACCTCAACTTCCTGCACACCATCATCAAGGCCGAGGGCAAGTACGTCAAGAAGTGTCAGGACATGATCATGACCGAGGTGAGGACAGGGACGAGACATTCAAATGTCCAGAATGTCTCTGTGTGTCTGAGAGCTGACGTGACGCCGTTATCTGTCCACAGTTAACCAACGCAGGGGAGGACGTGGTCGTCTTCTACAACGACAAGGCTTCGTTCAACGTCATGTTGGAGTTGATGGCAGAGAGCAGGGAGGGGGTCAGCGAGAACAGCCCACTCAGGTAACCATGGCAACAACAGTATGTACCCCAGCAATGGTGAAGTACTCAGATACTTTACTAAAGTAAGTGTCAATGACAGTTTGTAAAACGTCCTATCAGCACTGATCAACAGTGTTCAGCAAGTTACTCTTAAAATGTAATAGATTACATATTACTAGTTACCTTCATTTGAAAGTAATAAGTTACTTTTCAATATTTCTTTGTAGAGTAATCAGTTACTTATCAGAAGAAGTAAGGTTGATGGTAATGGATGAGGATCATGTTGTTTATCACAGTTCATACGTTCACATACACAGTGGTTACTACTATAACCCCACTTCTATTAACAACAGTCTGATGATACAGAAGATTAAATAAATAACTGAATCTCTGTGGACACAGGGAGGGTTAGGCAGAGGGTCACAGTCTGATCATTATCAGATATGGATCAATATCTTTGGGCCTATGACATGAAATACAACAAACTGAAGAACACGACACAACAGCTGAAGACACACCTGCAGGTTCCCGCTGTCGGTCAGCTGCAGCAGCACCGCAGAGAGAGTTCTGTTTAAGAACAGGGCTGTGTGTCGGCGTCGCTCCGCAGCTGCAGGAGATGTGAACGCAACACATCCAACATATACTGACATCATCCAGATGTGCCGATCACCAGGACGAGGTCAGCTTCTGATCCCCGCTGCTGGCAGGCAGCCTCAGGACGCAGAGGCAGGAAGGGATACGGAGGAGACGTTATAACACACTGAACATGATGACACACAGTACGACATCACACAGATGTGTCAGTGATGTGTCTGTGATGACATGATGACACACAGTACGACATCACACAGATGTGTCAGTGATGTGTCTGTGATGACATGATGACACACAGTACGACATCACACAGATGTGTCAGTGATGTGTCTGATGACATGATGACACACAGTACGACATCACACAGATGTGTCAGTAATGTGTCTGATGACATGATGACACACAGTACGACATCACACAGATGTGTCAGTAATGTGTCTGTGTCCACAGTTACTCCTCAGGTGGAGTAAAAGTCTAAAAGAATGACATTAGAAACTTCAGTTCATGTGTTTCTGTCTCCTGAGATGATGGATTTTGTGATGGAAGTTGTCCACACGCACGCATGAACACACACACACGCACACACACACACACACACACAAAGGTCAAGTTTCATAATGTGAAGATGTTGAGTGAAAGTGTCTTGTTGTGTGTTGATGTGTGTTGTGTTGTTGTGTGCTGTTGTGTGTTGATGTGTGTTGATGTGTTGTTGAGTGTTGTTGGGTGTTGTGTGTTGATGTGTGTTGTGTGTTGATGTGTGTTGTTGTGTGTTGTTGTTGTGTGTTATACTTTGTTGTGTGTTGTTGTGTTTTGATGTGTGTTGTGTGTTGATGTGTGTTGTTGTGTGTTTATGTGCGTTGTTGTGTGTTGTTGTGTGTTGTACGTTGTTGTGTGTTGATGTGTTTTGATGTGTGTCGATGTGTGTTGTTGTGTGCTGTGTGTTGATGTGTGTCGATGTGTGTTGTGTGTTGATGTGTCTTGTTGTGTGTTGTTGTGTGTTAATGTGTGTTGTTGTGTGTTTTTGTGTGTTGATGTGTCTTGTGTGTTGATGTGTGTTGTTGTGTGTTGTACGTTGTGTGTTGATGTGTTTTGATGTGTGTCGTTGTGTTTTGATGTGTGTCGTTGTGTTTTGATGTGTGTCGATGTGTGTTGTGTGTTGATGTGTGTTGTGTGTTGTTGTGTGTTGATGTGTCTTGTTGTGTGTTGTGTGTTGTTGTGTGTTAATGTGTGTCGTTGTGTTTTGATGTGTGTCGTTGTGTTTTGATGTGTGTCGATGTGTGTTGTGTGTTGATGTGTGTTGTGTGTTGTTGTGTGTTGATGTGTGTTGATGTGTCTTGTTGTGTGTTGTTGTGTGTTAATGTGTGTTGTTGTGTTTTTGTGTGTTAATGTGTGTTGTTTTGTGTTGATGTGTGTCGATGTGTGTTGATGTGTGTTGTTGTGTTTTGATGTGTGTCGATGTGTGTTGTGTGTTGATGTGTGTTGTGTGTTGTTGTGTGTTGATGTGTGTTGATGTGTCTTGTTGTGTGTTGTTGTGTGTTAATGTGTGTTGTTGTGTTTTTGTGTGTTAATGTGTGTTGTTTTGTGTTGATGTGTGTCGATGTGTGTTGATGTGTGTTGTTGTGTTTTGATGTGTGTCGATGTGTGTTGATGTGTTGATGTGTGTTGTTGTGTTTTGATGTGTGTTAATGTGTGTTGTTGTGCGTTGTTGTGTGTTGATGTGTGTTGTGTGTTGATGTGTGTTGATGTGCGTTGTTGTGCGTTGTTGTGTGTTGTGTGTCGATGTGTGTTGTTGTGCGTTGTTGTGTGTTGATGTGTGTTGATGTGCATTGTTGTGTGTTGTTGTGTGTTGATGTGTGTTGATGTGCGTTGTTGTGTGTTGATATGCGTTGTTGTGCGTTGTTTTGTGTTGTGTGTTGATAAGTGTTGATGTGCGTTGTTGTGCGTTGTTGTGTGTTGTGTGTTGATGTGTGTTGTTGTGCGTTGTTGTGTGTTGATGTGTGTTGATGTGCGTTGTTGTGTGTTGTTGTGTGTTGATGTGCGTTGTGCGTTGTTTTGTGTTGTTGTGTGTTGTGTGTTGTTGTGTGTTGTGTGTTGTGTGTTGTTGTGTGTTGATGTGTGTTGATATGCGTTGTGTGTTGTTTTGTGTTGTTGTGTGTTGATGTGTGTTGTTGTGTGTTGTTGTGTGTTGATGTGTGTCGATGTGTGTCGATGTGTGTTGTTGTGTGTTGATGTGTGTCGATGTGTGTCGATGTGTGTTGTTGTGTTTTGATGTGTGTTGTTGTGTGTTGTTGTGTTTTGATGTGTTTTGTTGTGTGTCGATGTGTGTTGTGTGTTGTGTTTTGATGTGTGTTGTTGTGTTCTGATGTGTGTTGTTGTGTTTTGATGTGTGTTGTTGATGTGTGCAGGTACCACATCTCTCTGGTGGAGCTGTTGGCGGCGTGCGCTGAGGGGAAGAACGTCTACACTGAGATCAAATGTACATCTCTGCTGCCTCTGGAGGACGTCGTCCGAGTAGTGACACACGAGGACTGCATCACTGAGGTACTGACACACTGTGTGTATGTGTGTGTGTGTGTGGCTCTAGTGGATGAAGTACTCAGATCTCCTACTGAAGTAACTGTGTAAATGTACCACTGAGCCGCTGTGCAGAAAAATACTCTATTACTCCAAGTAATCTATTACTCTGTTGCAAGTTAAAGTCCAGCAGTCAGAATCTGACTGAAGTAAAAGTATCAAAGTAATAAAGTATCAGCAGTACTCTGATTCTGCAGTAATGATCTGATTAACAGTTTCATGTTGCAGCAGGTGGAGCTCATTATAATTCTGTCTGTCTTTCTCTGTCTGTCTTTCTCTGTCTGTCTGTCTGTCTGTCTGTCTGTGTGTCTGTCTGTGTGTCTGTCTGTCTCTGTCTGTCTGTCTATCCATCTCCCTCTGTCTGTCTGTCTGTCTGTCTGTCCATCTGTCTCTGTCCCTAGGTGAAGGTGGCCTATGTGAACTTTGTGAATCACTGTTACGTGGACACAGAGGTGGAGATGAAGGAGATCTACACGTCCAATCACATCTGGAAGCTGTTTGAGGACTTCACCGTGGACATGGCCAGAGTAAGACAGATCTCTGTACCTCTGACTGATGTCTTATTGGACCAAGAGACCAATGTCCTCTGTGTCCTCTGCAGGTCTGTAACAAACGAGACAAACGTCTGTCCGACCCCATTCTGGAGAAATACATCATCAACGTGGTCTTTGACACCATCAGCGCCTTCTTCAGCTCGCCATTCTCTGAGAACAGCACATCTCTGCAGGTGAGGACATGACAGAGACAGGACTCTGTCCACACGTCTTCATTTTCAGCTTCACACATTAAAGGGAACGTCTCTGTCTCTGTGTCTGTCTCTGTGTGTCAGACTCATCACACCATCGTCACTCAGCTGCTGCAGTCATCTGTCCGTCTGTTGGACTGTCCCTGGCTGCAGCAGCAGCACCGAGGACAGGTGGAGACATGCATCAAGACCCTCGCTATGACAGGTAACACACACTGAGACACACACACACTGAGACACACACACACTGACACACACACAATGAGACACACACTGAGACACACACAATGAGACACACACACTGAGACACACACTGAGACACACACACACACACACGCTGAGACACACACACTCCATCAGCCAGTGGATGACAGTATCATTGACTCTGAGGTGTTTGTGTTTCACTGCAGTGTTACTTTATATTTTTATTTTACTTCACTACATTTATGTGAAAACTTTACAGTGACTCAGCAGATGAAGATTTGAAGGTTCAGTGTGTCAGAGTGAGCTCAGGATGAGAATCTGTACCTCACAATTTAATCTGGTTCAGGTTCAGGTTCAGAGGGCGACGATTTAAAATCAAGGTTGAAGATTCCAGATGAACTTTACTGCCCTTCACAGTGGGACACTCGTCTCGGGCTCTTCACCCAAACTGCAGCCATAAACAATACAACATATAACAGTTGGGGTGGATGTGGCTCAGAGGCAGAGTGGGTCTACCACCAATCTGAAGATTGGGTGCTCAATCTCCTGCACCTTCAGTCCACATGTTGAAGTATCCTTGAGCAAGATACTGAACCCCAGACTGCTGCTGATGGCTGTTCATTGGTGTGTGAATTTGACTCATAGTGTAACAAGTGCTTTGAGTGGTCAGGTGATGAGAAAGGAGCCGTACAAGTGCAGGTCCGTTCATCATTTAAACACGTCAGCATCATACACAAAACATAGCAAAGATAAATATATGACATCATCATGACCCAGTGTCTGATCTGACTCCAAAATGAATTATTAAATGTGTTCAGTCAGCAGTGAGACGCTCTGAATCGACCACCAGAGGGCAGCAGCTGCTTCTCCGAACCATCATCAGTCCTTCTGAATGTTTCTGTGCAGGATTTAGTTTCTCTCTGTGTGACTCCTTTTGAACACATCATACTGTCTTTGTAGTGACCCATGATGAAAGTAACAGGTGAATCTATCTCCTGTTCAGGTCTATTTACCTTTGACCTCACAGACAAAATGTTTTTACAGTGTAGATGTAAACCATCAGGGCCCCGTGTCCCAGAGCCTTTGTAGCACTACGTGCATCCTAAGTTGTATCTTAAGGTCTCCCTTAAGCTTCAGGCTGTTTCCCAGACTCTCCTTGGTGAAGATCTGTCTTCTGACAGGTAGATCTGTCCCTTAGTGATGCGCTCTGTTCATCCTGTCACAGTTATGCATTTTGCTTAACATTATGCTTTTTAAATGGACAGTTGCAGTATAATTCACATCTAGACTCCTTATGCACATTACATCGTCAGTTTATAATTAACTTCATGAAAAATAATCATGAATATTGAATATTATGAATATGTGGGTTTATTTATTTATTCATTCAATCATTCATTTATTTAATGGAGCTAACTAACTGAGGATATGTCTTTTCTGATGAGGCTACAGGCTGTACCCTCCCACCAAATACTGAATATCTGACAGATACTTGACTAATTGATCAAACTGAAGTCTAATGACAGGGCCATCTTGTCACAATACTGGCTGCCACGTGAGGAGATCCTGAATCTGCTGGCACTTGTGTCCCCGCACACTTCCAGAGCTACCAAGTGCAACTTCACCCTCAGCCCAGACGTACAGCTTCTGGCAGCTCTGCGTTTTTAGGCAGTGGGTAGTTTTTTGGAGGTGGTGGGAGACGGATTCGGGCTGAGCAAGGCATCGGTTTCACAGAGTGTGGAAGCGGTGACCAATGTCCTTGCTGGTCATGAACAAGACTACATAAAGATGCCTGCAAGGAGAGAGGACATCACCGAGGCTCACCAGGGCTTCCATGCTGTGGCTGGTATTCCCCGGGTGATTGGACTGGTGGATGGGACCCTAATCCCGTGTCCAACCCGTCCATGGATGACCAGGCCTTCATCTGCTGGAAGGGATATTCCGGCATCAACACCCAAGTGGTGATGGACCACAGAGGGCTCTTTTGTGGATGTTGTTGCAAAGTGGCCCGGCAGCACGCACGACAGTTACATCTGGGCTGACTCATCTGTGGGACAAGATGCTGCCAGAGAAGCGTTTGGCAGAGGTTTTTTCCTCGGGGATAGTGGCTACCCGCTCCGAACCTACCTGCTGACACCAGTGACTGTCCCCATTACACATGCCGAGCAGGAGTACAACTCTGCCCACATCTGCACCAGGGGCTTGGTTGAAGGCACCGTTGGCCGCTAGAAGCTCCGGTCCAGATGCATCCTTTGGTCGACGGGAGGACTTAAGTTTAACCCCGCAAAATGCTGTGTTGTCACCTTGGTCACAGCAATGTAACAGAATTGCTGTGCGTGCGCAAGCATGTCTTCCTTTGGAGGAGAATGAAGGAGAGGATGATGACGACGACGATGGTGTCAACCCCCCGCCTGAATATCGTGCAGCACAAGACAAGACAAAACATCATCAACATTTTTGCCTGAAGTTCCTTTTCTCCTCCACTTTTCCTTTGCAAACGGTCCCTGTCCCACAGTCAAAGCATCACAGTTACCCTTTATTTCTCAACACAATAAGCCCACTATCATAAAGTACCCCAATTCCTTTTTTAAAAACATTTTGCTGCCAATCAATGCCCCCCGTGATGCCTTGGGAGGCTGTGTGGCCAATGACTGACAGGACCTTTTCCTCCTCGGGGGTGAGGGTGGGAGCAGTCCTGAGTCCACCACTGGTTTTGGCAGCCTCTCGGCAAATTGCCGCCCCTCGCCTTTTGGCCAAACTGGCGGAGTCTTGCCACTTCTTCTGGACCACTGTCCACTGTCTGGGTGGACCAGAGCTGGAGGCACGGACAGCTCCAACTTACAATGTACCTTAGCAGAAGTCCCTTAGCTAAGGTACATCTTACAGACCTTCGTAGAGCGCGAAGGTTCATCCAAACTGGGAAACCCAGACTGTTTCCATCTGTGGTCATAAACACTGATCCACTGTGGGATATTAATGTTGGTGTAGTGTTTATGCACACTGTCATATGTCACAGGAAACAGTGTGAAAAGATTTAACTGTCGCTCCATCAGTCTGAATATAATCTGAACTTAAATCATCTCAGCAGCAGAGATACAGATTTATCTGAGACACACAGACTGAATGGACAGAGGGGTTTAACCTTTGACCTTATTAACTCTGTTACACACACACTAAAGAAAACACGCTGATTATATTCACTTTAATCTGGAGCTTTAAAACCACTGGTAAACATGTAAAATACATCACATTATTACTCAGTAAATTCAACTGTAAAACATCAGATACATTAAATATATTTGGTGTGTTATTGTGTTAATAATAAGAATTAACAATAATCATGATAATAATAAAGAGACTGCAGTGAGGATGGAGTCTGTTCAGACTGAACCTTTACCTTTAACTGATATGAGGACAGTTCACTGCTTCACTGGTACTTAGATACACGGCTTCAACTTATAACAGAGTATTTTCATATCGTAGGATCACCACTGAACTGCTTCTCCTCAGACCGACGAGATGATCTGAGTTTGTTCCTCACAGAAACTGAGTCTTCTTCTTATTTCTTCTTCCTCAGCGAAGAGTCGCTCCATCTCTCTTCCTCTGGACCTGGAGGCTCAGATCAGCTCCATGTTGTCCAGCTCTGCTCTCAACTCTCTGTCCCGCTCCAACCCAAACTACAAGTCCTCCCTGCGCTCCTCCAGACCCATCACTCCCAGCAACCCCTGGGACTACAAGAACATCATCGAGAAGCTTCAGGTGCACAAACACACTGCTACACAAACACACTGCTACACAAACACACCGCTACACAAACACACTGCTACACAAACACACTGCTACACAAACGTGACCCATCTGTGACCTGTCTGTGACCGTCTGTTACCCGTCTGTGACCTGTCTGTTACCCATCTGTGACCTGTCTGTGACCGTCTGTTACCCGTCTGTGACCTGTCTGTTACCCATCTGTGACCTGTCTGTGACCGTCTGTTACCCGTCTGTGACCCGTCTGTTACCCATCTGTGACCTGTCTGTGACCTGTCTGTTACCCGTCTGTGACCTGTCTGTTACCCATCTGTGACCTGTCTGTGACCATCTGTTACCCGTCTGTGACCCGTCTGTGACCTGTCTGTGACCGTCTGTTACCTGTCTGTGACCTGTCTGTGACCGTCTGTGACCCGTCTGTGACCTGTCTGTTACCTGTCTGTGACCGTCTGTGACCGTCTGTTACCCGTCTGTGACCTGTCTGTGACCCGTCTGTGACCCGTCTGTGACCTGTCTGTGACCTGTCTGTGACCGTCTGTGACCCGTCTGTGACCTGTCTGTGACCTGTCTGTTACCTGTCTGTGACCGTCTGTTACCCGTCTGTGACCCGTCTGTGACCCGTCTGTGACCTGTCTGTGGCCGGTCTGTGACCCGTCTGTGACCTGTCTGTGACCGTCTGTTACCCATCTGTTACCCGTCTGTGACCTGTCTGTGACCCGTCTGTGACCCGTCTGTGACCTGTCTGTGACCCGTCTGTGGCCTGTGACCTGTCTGTGACCGTCTGTGACCCGTCTGTGACCTGTCTGTGACCTGTCTGTGACCGGTCTGTGACCCGTCTGTGACCTGTCTGTGACCACAGGACATCATCAACACTCTGGAGGAGCGTCTGAAGCCGCTGGTCAACGCTGAGCTGTCGGTGCTGGTGGACGTCCTGCACCAGCCGGAGCTGCTGTTTCTGGAGGGAACTGACGCCCGACAGCGCTGCGAGTCCGGAGGCTTCATCTCTAAGTAGGTCCAGGTCCTCTGAGTCCCCAAGTGACCTTCTGATACACAGATGCATGATGGGAAATGTGCGTGTGTTTGTAGGCTGATCCAGCACACCAAGGCGCTGATGTGTGCAGAGGAGAAGTTGTGTATTAAAGTCCTGAGGACTCTGCAGGAGATGCTGATCAGGACACTGGACTTTGATGAGAAGGTCAGTTAGTTGTTGGACATTTAAAGATCAATATGACCTCCGGTTGTGTCGATCACGTTTGCACTCTGGCTGTGAAACTTCCTCTTCACACTGAGAGCTGGTGGCTGTTGTTTGGTGCATGTGTGCTGAGTGTGCACGCAGGATGTTGCAGCTGCTCCTGATAGTTTATTAATTTTAGTTCATGTTTGACCTGTAATGATTGACCGTTTCCCCGCAGGGGTCAGTGAAGTGTTTCTGGGTCTGACTGCAGTGACCGTGTGTGTTGTGGTTTCAGGGAATCTCTCTGAGGAAAGTTTTACTGCAGAATTATCTGTTTCCAAACAAGAAGAACAACCCAAAGTCTGACCTGGCCGAGCTCGGAGCTTCAGGTACACTGCTTCATACCACACACACCTTCTGTCACAGCAGAGATTAAAATGGCGTCACAGCGCCACACAGAGGAAGGAGACACACATGTAACTTTAAATGATTATTTACTGATGATGTCAAACACATGAAACAGTGACATCACAGCTGCATTCAGCATTGACACAACGTAGTAAAACCTTTGGTCAAATCAAAAAGCTGCTGCGATGAACTCAAGCCTTACAGACACGTGAAATGAAAATAGATCTGTCTGTTTCAAACGTCATAAACGTCACTGTCCTCATGCGTCCATGTGTCCGTTATGATGTCATAGATACAGCAAATAGATGGCACCAGAGTGCGGAGTCAAAACTTTCACACAACAACAAATGAGGTGACGGTGGAGGAGGTCGTAATACTGCACCTTTAAACAGAGGTAGTGTTCTGTGCGTCATTAAACACATCACAACATGTGGATGGAGAATTCTATTCTATATGTTCTGCAGCGCCATTATTTATATTTCTACCTGTATTTCTTTGTCAATTCAATCAATCAATCAATCAATTTTATTTATAAAGCCCAATATCACAAATCACAATTTGCCTCACAGGGCTTTACAGCATACGACATCCCTCTGTCCTTAAGACCCTCACAGCGGATAAGGAAAAACTCCCCAAAAAAAACCCCTTTAACGGGGAAAAAAAACGGTAGAAACCTCAGGAAGAGCAACTGAGGAGGGATCCCTCTTCCAGGACGGACAGACGTGCAATAGATGTCGTACAGAACAGATCAGCATAATAAATTAACAGTAATCCATATGACACAATGAGACAGAGAGAGAGAGAGAGA